GCCCCAGCACTAGCCCAGCCCCAGCACTGACCCAGCCCCAGCACTAACCCCACCCTAATCCAGCCCCAGAACTAACCCAGCCCCCAGCACTAACCTAGTCCCAGCAGTAACCCAGCCCCAGCACTAACCCAGCCCCAGCACTGACCTAGCACCCCACCAGGAACCTCAGCCCCCCATTCATGGCCCCACCCAGGCTGTCACAGCACTCCGGCTGGAGCTCCAGCACCCCAGGTCCGCAGCCCCATGACAGGGTCTTGGGACAGAGGGGCTCTCAGCAGGGCCCCAGCAGCGCAGACCTGGGAGGCTTAACATTCCAGAATACTTCCTGAAGGTGTAGGCGGCCCTCCCTCCGGGAATCTGGAGAAGTGCTTGGAAGCATGTTGAAAACCAGCCTTGGGGAGGAGGCTGGGCCCGAGGCTGTGGTCTTGCAGCAGGTCTGGGGGTCTGGCTCCCCAGCAGCTGGGGGTCCCTGACTGCTGTGCGTGCAGACCTGCTGCAGGACAGGCCCCAGGGCTGTGCCCCCAGGCCCCCTGACTCCCTCTCTGGCCGGCCTGCCCAGGGCCTCCTTCCCCATTCTCCACAGGTGGCCCCTGCAGAGCCCAGGGGCCTCCCAGACTGAGAGCCAGAGGCACGGGGCAGAGCTGGGGACAGGGCGAGGCTTGGGCTAGGAGAGCCCCTTCATGCTGCCTCTGAGAGGGCCATGGCGGGGGGTCAGCGTGGCATGAGGTAAAGCCGGGCCCAGGGCCTTGGGGCCCCTGGAGCCTTGGCCTGGGACTAGGGCTGAGCCCTCTCTGAGGAGGCCCCATCTTGCAGGAGCTGCAGCCTTTCTCAGGTGAACACACTCCTGCGGGCACAGCTGCAGCACATGAAGGGGGCCAACAGCCAGCTGGCCCGGGAGCTGGCCAACACCACCGCCGGCATGTTCCGCCTGCAGCGTGAGCTGGAGCGCAGGGAGGTGCGGCTGGGCACCAGAGGGGTCCTACCTGGGTGGACACACCAGAGGGGTCCACCACTGTGGATGCTGCCTGTGGGCGGGTCACGGACCAGGGAGGGTACAGCGACTTCACCTGGTCCCTCCTGGGGCCAGGGCTCATCCTGGGCTGGGTCACAGCGGTCAGTGGAGTGGGGACACCCCAGCCCCTCTCCTTTTGGGGGAAGACCCAGCCCCTGAGGACCGAGGAGCTGAGCAAGTCTGGTGGCAGGGCAGAGCCCTGGAGGGGCCTGGCTGGGCCCCGGGGCTCCCTGCAACTGCCCGTCCACAGTATTCGCCTGCGGGGATGACCCCTCCCTGGCCTGGACCCAGGTGTGCAGCCTTGGCCAGCGGGCTCTCTGTAGCTGAGAAGGCCCTGAGGGGCTGAAGGTGCCCACGGCCCTCAGTGAGAGGGGCTGAGGGTGCCCACGGCCCCTGCACACCGTGGACAAGATGCTCTCTCCAGGTGGAGACGGAAGCAGGGGCTGGCTGCCCGGGTCTGGGCCTCAGGCAGAAAGACCAGCTGTGGGCGTAAAGCCAGCGGGGAGGGCTGGACTCGGCCACGCAGGCCCCATAGCTGTTGCTCCTGTCCACAGCAGCCTGGACCCTCTGCCACCACCCCAGGTGGAAGGAGGGTGTCAGTGAGCCGCCTGAGGTGGGAGGGTGCCCTGTCTCGTAGGGTGTCCCCAGGAGCTGCGTCTGCCACCACCGGGATCTCTAATAGCAGGACTGTGACACAGCACTGCTGAGACCGCTCCCCCGTCACGGGTCCTGGGGTGCAGCGGGTGGTCCCACGGCACCCACAGTTTCCTCCTGTGAGCGGGGTGCCTTGGAGGGGCTCCCGAGTTCGCTCTGGCCCTTGCTCCTGGGGAGGGGTCTGGGAGAGTCCTCCCTGCCCTGCCTCTGCCCTGCCGGAGGGGGTGGACCCTGCCCCTGGAGCCCCTGGGGGCTCGGCCTGGCCTGGCCGTGTGCAGCTGCCCGAGGGTCTCTGTGGACTTGCTCGAGCTCATCGCTCCTGGGCCTTCGCTGTGTGGGGAAGGGAGTCACCACCAGGCCCAGCCCTCTGCCCTCACCCCAGTGGGAAGCACCCTCCTGGTGGCCAGACGGCCGGGGGCGCCTCCTGGGGCCTGCGCCGCCAGGCTGCTCCTGCTCTGGGCTCTGACCTGGCACATCCGCCCGCATGAATCCCAGCACCGCAGGCTTCTCCTCGATTCCTTCCCGCGCACCCCCTGGCCACTCGTCCACCTCCTGGCTCGTGGGTGCGTGTGAGAAACAGTTATCTTGTGGTCCAGTGTCCACCATTTCCAAGACCTGAGTTGTCCGCTTCTCCTGGGTCCTCGACACGATGCTCCGTCTCCTTCTGTCTGAGGATTTTTATCATTTATCTATATGCACACTTAGTTGTAGATGGACCTGATATCTTATTTATTTATTTTTATGTGGTGCTGAGCATGGAGCCCAGTGAGGCAAGTGAGGCAAGGGCTCTGCCACTGAGCCACAGCCACAGCCGGTTTTTTATTTAACTCATTTTTTAGCTGTTTATTTCCTGTGGAACTCTGTGGAACCTCTTGGGGAACTGGGGGAAGGCAATATTTTCCAGGAAGAATTCCATCTGCTTCTGAGGGTGCTCAGGGCCACGCCTGGGAAATGCTCGCTCTGGGCCTGCAGCGGTCCAGGGTGTCGCCTGTACCTCCACACCCTGTCTGCTTGCCTCCAGTGTGCTGGACAGCAGCTTCTCCTGTGGGCACACGTGTGTGCACGTGGGCATGGTGTGTGAGTGTGTGTGTGTGAGGGAGTGCCTGTGAGTGCCTGTGTGCACATAGTGTGTGTGAGTGTGTGTGTGAGTGTGTGTGAGTGTGTGTGAGTGTATGAGCATGTGTGTGTGCATGGTGTGTATAAGGAAGTGCCTGTGAGTGCCTGTATGCACATAGTGTGTGTAGGTGTGTGTGTGTGAGTGTATGAGCATGTGTGTATGTGTGGTGTGTATAAGGCAGTGCATGTGAGTGCCTGTGTGCACATAGTATGTGTGGGTATGTGAGTGTGTGTGAGTGTATGAACATGTGTGTATGTGTGGTGTGTGTGAGGGAGTGCATGTGAGTGCATGTATACACATAGTATGTGTGGGTGTGTGAGTGTGTGTGAGTGTATGAGCATGTGTGTGTGTGGTGTGTGTAA